CTCTTCTTGGTACTTATTATTATATATATATATATAATTTTTTAATTTTGAAAAGAGGATTTTTTTAATTTTTGAAAAATAAATAAGACCAAACAGATCTCATATATTCAATCATTTAAATAACCGAGCACGATATTACAAGTAATATTTTATCTCGAAAGATAAGAATATCATTCGATAATAGTCTCAATCATTCAAATTAAGAAATTTATGATATTTATTTGATCTGCAAAATTTTGAACAGATTATTTCCCTACCTAATCTGAAGATTAGATAAAGTTTAGATTATCTTAGTTACTAATTATTCTATAGGTGCAAACCCTTATGGTTAATTAAATCTTATGTGACCGAAATCACTTAAGAAAATTCTCAATTAATATTTGAGTTTGTTTTCAAGAATTCGAAGTTTATCAACTGGGAAATACTCGAAGAGGAACAATCATTTTGGAATTCAAAGGAGCGAAAGGTAAATGTCGTAGATACTGAGAAGACTTCTGTGACTTTCGAAACTATCATATGATTTGGCTTTACATTTTGGAAGCGACGTTATTTAATGTTTTACTCTTGCAGCTTATTTAAAAATTTAGGACTTACATTTACACGACATGCGATCATGCAAACAGCCTAAGAAAGGAGTATTTGCGTCGTACCGAACGAACGACCTTGGGTTCCTAAAAAGAGTTAGTATTTATATTATACGACATAGAACCATGCGAAGACCTAAAAGATAATATAAGGATTTACGTCGTGCCAAACGGATAACCTCAAAATTCTAAAGATTTATGCAGATTAATACTATGACAAGTTTAATTGTAGTTCATCTTTCGCTTCATGTTATGCCTCGACCGCCTTGAAGTTTGACAGCTGCTCGATTGCATCCTTGCCTAATACTATGAAAGAAAAGGAAAGAGAAAACCATGCCTCAAGAGGCCTATCCTAGGTTTTTGTTGTTTGTTTGTTGTGATCCTATGAAGTGTATTGAATTTATGATTATTATTATTAAAGTGATTAAAAGGAGAGATTTTATTTTTTGTTAAGC